ACACACACACACACACACACACACACACACACACACACACACACACACACACACACACACACACATTAGGTGTACAACTTTGCTTCCGCCGTTTTTTTCCGAAATTCGAGGCTTTATTGTAAAAAACTGGTCATACATTTATGATTCAAAGTATTGTCCATCGCTGGCCACTACTTTCTCCCATCTTTCGGATAGCGTACGAATCCCGCGTCGAAAAAACTGGTCATCTTTTGAGGCTATCCACGATCCAATTTTTTACTTCTTCATAAGACTGGAAGTGCTGGTCAGCCAGGCCGTGTGCCATTGATCGAAACAAGTGATAGTCAGAGGGAGCAACGTCTGGAATACGGCGGGTGAGATAGGACTTCCCATTTCAACGTTTCCAAGTATGTTTCCAAGTATATTGACCACTTTCGCAACATAGGGTCGAGCATTGTCATGCTGCAAAATCACTTTATCGTGTCTCTCGTTGCGACCGTTTGTCTTTCAATGCTCGGTTTAAACGCATCAATTGCGTTCGATACCGATCGCTTGTGATTGTTTCAGTCGGTTTTAACAGTTCATAATACACTACGCCGAGCTGGTCCCACCAAATACAGAGCATGACCTTGGACGTCAAAATCACCGTTCTTGAAGCGTTGAAACCATTCACGACACGTTCTTTCACTAATAGCGGCCTCACCATAAGTATTTGAGAGCATTCGATGAACATCAGCCGCAGATTTCTTCATATTGAAGCAAAAAATTAAAACCTCCCGCAAATGACGAGAATTTGGCTCGTAAACTGACATTTTCAATCGAGAATAACTTTATGATGCAGACACAAATCGACTAATGTTTCTATGGGGTTATGTTGATGAGGTTATGTTGATGGGGTTATGATGCCCAAGTTTATTATATGACGTCTATGATCTATTTATTTCGACCACCACTTACCGCTAAAGCCATCTATAGGAAAACGGCAGAAGCAAAGTTGTACACCTAATATATTTATATATATATATATTAAATTCTTCGTGTGTTCAAGTGAATATCAAGTGAATATATCGTATCAAGTGAATATAATCGAATTTTCTGAATTTGTTGAAACGTGACATAATTTATAAAAGAAGAGTCTCATCGTAGAAACGTGATTTGGTATCTATGTACTGTATGTATTAAAAGACATTTAATATTTGAATTATGGAATTGAATTACAGTAAACAGTGTTGAGCACTATTACGGTGCATCCAAATTCATTCCTCCTGTTTCAAGAAACTAGAGCAAAATAGAATTGAACATCTACAAGATAAAAACAATTTTATAATTAAGATAATACAATAATAAGCTTTTAAAGTATATTTGATACGTTTTTGCTTTAAATATTCATAACTCTTTGCTAAAAAGCACGATCGCGTTTCTCATAAAACTTCCCCTAAGTATGTAATAAATACTACGAGCACAAATAAAATTGTTAGAGTAATTTTTGTAAAATTGAGAAATTAGACAATAATTGCGTGTCACAAGTATTATAATGTCTATTGATATACAATTAAGTCTAACAAATATTTCAGTACGTCGAATTGTAAGAAACGCTGTATCACGAAATAGTAATCGACTCTAAGTTTTTTATTTCGCAATCGTAATGAACAGCTGTAAATTTATCAATATATATTGTATTCGCCTTCATGAAAATTGTAAATGTTGCATAATCTTTTACTCTCTATTCCATAATAATTATGTGTAATTCTATTTATTTGTTAATTTGTTTTATATATAATTGAAAGCAATTTGTTTATATTCTATTGTGCTTTGGTTCAAATTACGTATATATTTATACATAAATTTATAAATTATCATTGTTTTATATTATAAATTATCATTGTTTATATAATTCATAAATTATCATTGTTTTATAATTTTAATTGTTTAAAATATGTTTAAATTTTCAATATATAACAATATTTCTTTCAATTTGATTAATATTTTGTTCTATTTAGATTATCTATCAATATTATTAAAGACGTACATACAACTTATATAACTTGATATCAAGCTACATCAATAATATTACTAGATTTTTCTTCTTTTGCTCATATTGTCTGTTCTTTTTCTGTTAACTGATGAATTGATTTGGATTCAGGACTCATCATTACTTCATCTATTATTCGACAAATTTGATTAAATATAATTGCGTTATACCATCTATTGTAACTCAAAGGTGAGACGATCCTCCCTTAATCTCAATAATTATCATAAATTAATTTAATTCTGATATATAGGGTAATTATATAATAATTATGTATTTCTGATGAGGATTAAATATAGTCAAAATTTATTGTTGAAACTTACTGTCGAAAATTATATTTGTGAAAAATAAAAATTTTTACTTTGTTATACCTAATTATAGCTCGTTGAATTTGTTGAGATGGATTTACTATTTATTAATTTAACATATCTAATAACCATAAAGCCACGCTCAAGATAAGAAATTGGCTTCGGAGTCGGACTTATTTATTACGCGTAAATTCCTGGATAAGATGTACGTGGAGTACCTTGAGAAATCGAACAAATTTTCAGAATCCAGCAGATCCTGCTGAGGACG